GCGCACATATTTCTACCTGTATTATTACAAGATAATTTTCATTGAAGTTTGTACGAAATTTTACTTATGTTCATTTTGTTTATTTTCAGTTATTTGGTGATTTGGTGACCGAGATATTATAAATCTATAAGTGTGTATACAAAAAACAGATGTTTGTAAACAGTTTGACAGATGAATTATGGTGTTGTTTCCTCTGGCCAAAAAAAACTGATTGTTTTGTCTGTATTTTTTTGTTGGTGCTGAGATACCTCGAAAAAAAAATTTGCAGAAATGAACAGATTTTTTTTTTTTGTGACAATATAAATCACGATAAATTATAACCATTTTGATTTCTTGAAAAGAGGCAACGTTCCACATCTGCAAAGTTCACGGAAATTACGTGTATTAGGAAAATTGGTGCCTGTTAATAATGTGTGTTATTAGGTTATTTTCACTTTCGAAAAAAGATTAAAATTTTATGGAAATAGTTTATTGTGTATTTTGGCGATACAAGTATTGTTTATGATACGCATGTCATTAGGAATACAATATATAAAACAAAATGATGAAACATACGGATTTTTACACAATATGCTATTATGACTTTTTGTCGGTTTTTTTCATTTTTTTTTATAACCTCAGGTATAATTTGTGGAGGATGTGATTTTATGTGATAACCAAAAGAGAACATGTTTTTTGTGCTGTAAAGTGCCCGCAAATCTGTTCACCAATTTTATTGCCGTCAATATTTGTTGCAAATGCAACATGCTTATAGGTGTTTATGTGATGTTAGTTCGTTGTGTACGTTGTGTAAAGGAGCCTAGAAGTTGGTTGGTCATGGCTAGGTAGTGTTAATTAAAAAGACAGTAAACAAAAAACACAGGTCATGAACACAATACATTCATTGTTACAATTAACGAACAAGAGCTATTGCACTAGACCCTAACTTATGGAATATTATATAACCTAATTTTCTAATTACTTAAACTAGATATTGCACAATTGACACAGATTGAAGAACAATATGTGGATGCAAGATCTGTTAGCATTCAGAAAATGCGATATAATATTTTAAACTATTTCACCCTATGGTCTATTATTCTGTGCGTAGGTATTATTGCACAACATATATTATTCATTTGTCCTTGTCGTACTAACGTTTTTGGCGCCTTTGTTTTGCGCATAAGTAGTGGCAGGTGTTATTGCACTTAAAAATTATAGGACGACAGGACTATTGTTTGGATTGGGCGCCATATTGTTGCGTACCGCCTACTGCGGCTCCTGGTGGGGTTCCAACCAGCTCAGTCGGGGCACCGCTTTAGGGGTGAATTCCCAACCCTACCACCATCAGCCCTAGGGGTCGAACAATCAAGAAGGAAAACGGAAATAGAACAACAAACAACAATACAAAATGACAACACACATACGACCATAACGAGGGAATTTGGTGACAATTATTCCCGCACTTCGCCCGCCCAACCTTGACCCTTTTCGTCCTCATATACACCTAATTTTAAAGGGCCCCTGTTTCCACACACACTCACCTTACTGCAACATCGTCCAATCTTCCTCCCTTACAGAAAACAACTAGCAATTCATATTAATGTAAACATTTACACATAAACAATATTTATTAATTTCATTATTTCTTGATTACTTAAACCTAACATAAACACATAGTCAATATTCTGAATTCCTAACACCTAAAACTATCGATAAGTCACTGTTTCAGACTACCCACACAATCTATTGAAACGGCTCCTTCTGGCCACTCTATTATACTATTACCTCACCTAAAAGAGCTCTCTTAAGTCGTTATTGGGGAGATTACCATTTGGTCCCAAAATAGGCAAAAACACTAATTCCAATCAGATATTTGGGGTAACCCTACACTTGTCGCATTTGTTAGGCGTTAAAAATTCTCACAATTTTAAAATCTTAGATATTAATCACTAAATACTAACACATAACACACTTAATCTAACACTTAAAATTTAGTAAATATATTTTTGTTTGGTTTTTTTTTAAATTTTTTTTCATTTGGTGATTTGCTTGTTTTTAATTTGGTCTTTGATTACTAATTCATTTTTTGTTTTACTTTCAGATTTCTCAGGCTATTGGCATTTGTATCTCAATTTTAAATTTCGACAAAGGTTACCTGGTTTCCAGATACTTATTTTCCAGGATCATTTTGGACGGACAGACAAATCAATTTATTGGCCAACTGCATCCAAGCTTGCGTTGACGTGCTGTCTTCACTTTGGGCTTAACCGTCTTCCAGCCAACTATTCTACGGCTAAAACCATGCCACATAAATCTTTTTCGCCGAATAAGCCCCAAAATAAAAATCGGATGACCTCCTCCGTGCGACGACTTGGAGGGGCCAATGCTTGCCTTTTCCGTTGATGAGGATGTTGGCGAGATCTATACAAAACACAAACATTCAAACACATAAAATATTACCGAATTACACTACTTACTTTATTTTGTTCGCTCGCAGGCATAAGGCACTCAACAATAAAAAACAAACACAAGTCTTAATAAATTTTGGGTATTTTTTTTGTTTATCTTGGGGATTTTTGTTTTCTTTGTTTTGAAAATTTGTTATAAATTATAGTCTCTCGACCAAACACCAAATAAATTTGATCGAATTTTCCCCCCCGTTATGCCTTTTATACCCCCGCAGCCAGATGCCATTTTCCCACTTTTCTGGGATTCTCGCGCATTTTCCTACATTTATCATTTTTCCTTTATCTTACCTCTTGATCCCTACACTCGACAGGGTTGTATTTGCCAGGCCTAAATTTCAGACCAGATGGCAACGCATGAATTTCTCAACCGCTGTACTGAGCTTACTGTATCCGGCTCACTTTTTTCTGGCCGGCAGCAGCAAACACATCATCTCGGATAATTGCTGCCGGTTGTGTTTTTTTATTTTATTTTTATTTTTATACAAAAAATTATATTCACATGCAACAAACTTTCTTGTACCATCAGCTGATATTTAATCAGCTGTTTTGCTATGTTTTGTAAACATACAACAAAATTGTTCTAAAGCAAATATATTGTTTTGTGAATGTTATTCTGTATAATTAAACATTAAAATGGATGAAGAACACGCAAGTATTTATAAACAATATCAATTTTTTGCTTGTTATCCATGTTTCTAATAAAAATGTTTGTCTGTTGTTGTTTTAATCAGCTGTGTGGATACAATTTTTTTATTGGATGTTGTTCGTTTACTTTTTGCAATCTCTCTCTCTCTCTCTTGAGAACGAATAATTCATATTTACTCTCTGCAAATTCTTACTGAGTAAATGCTACTGGGAAAGTAAACTAACGAACCTATTGTTTTAGTCGGTAAGTCGTTTTTACACAATAATTACATTACGACTTAACCCTTAAACGTTGCATAGCAACCGTATTTTAAATTGCATGCGACAAATTAATATAGAGGATTTTTTTAATATTGGTCGTGAATTTCATTGGGAAACCTTTTTGTTTTTATTTATTTTCAAAATGTCCTCGAAAAGTGTAATTTGTTTTGACATATCAAAAAATGAACGATTTCAAATAACCGACAACTATAAAATGTTGCATCGTAAATTGAAATCCCAATATATTATCGAACAGTAAGTATGAATGCAGAATTTTACAGGATAACAGAAATTTAATATGCAGGTGGAAAAAAGTTTCTTAGATGTCTGTTTTTAAAGAATAATGCAGGGTACAGTTTATAAGAAATAATCGTCGCACGTTTGATTTAAGGGAACCCCACCCATTCTCGATTTTAATTTTTCAAGAATTTCAATGGGCTGGTAAATCAATACCATGCTTGTTAAGATTTGTAACTTTGCACATATATATTTGAAGATTTAAAAGAGAAGAAAAATAATTTACAAAACAATTTTGTTATTGTTTTGTTGTTGTTTTTTGTAATTAATGAAAAGTCCTTATTTTTGATGGCGGGCATGATAACTCTTCACTGGAACATCGGAATCGGAAAATTCCAACGGTGTTAGAAAGAGTACATGTCTGGCTCTCGTATGAACTAGGATTATTGACTTCGCTTGAAAAAATATTTTTTGGAAATTCGCCGATTTTTTACCAAAAACCAAGTTAAAAAATAAGGAAGATCTTCACCGATTGGCTTTATCCTAGTTCATACGAGATCTATACACTCCCAGAGAAACGTTACAAAATTTGGAACCGATTGGACTATTAGTTTTTGAGTTATCGTGCCCGCCATTCGCAAAAAAATGTTTAGAGAAAAACGCGTTTAAAGTTTGAGAAGCCCTTCATCCGTCACCTGACGCTGACACAATAAATCGGCTATATCTTCAAGAGATTTCTTGAGATTTTCACTTGAAATTTTGTAGAGACATTCTTTAATCAGTGTAGATTCGAATTATATCAACAAGAATTTTGACCCCGAGAATGGGGGGGTCCCCTTAAATTATTTGTTCATATGATTTTGTTCATATTCAAATTATAAAATTTAAATAAATACGTACTAGTTTATTTCTTGTATCTTGCTATACGTTTTGTTTATCATTCTCCTTTTCTATTTTGTTTGCCTTTAGAAATGACATGGAATTGAAACCCGAAATATTGGACAAAGTAAAAATATTTATATTGGCCGGCCCTCAGGATCGTTTTACCGAAGAAGAATTTGAAGCATTAAAAGCCTATGTGGATAATGGTGGTAGTTTATGGGTATTACTGGGAGAGGGTGGTGAAAATGAATTCAATACAAATGTGAATTTCTTTTTGGAACAGTATGGCATATACATTAATAGTGGTGAGTAATTATAACATTCCTTTATTACCTATATAAGTAATCATTTTTAAAATTAATTTCCAGATAATGTTATCCGCCCACATTACTACAAGAATTTCCATCCCAAAGAATGTTCAATTGGTGGCGGTGTCGTTTGCGAATCAATGTGGCGGCATATTTTAAAACAACCAGTCGACAAAGTTGATTATGATTTTAGTGATGAAAAATATAAGTTACATTTTCAATACCCCTACGGGGCGACATTAAATGTGTCGGAGCCAGCAAATGTCCTGCTTACAACCGGCCCTGTGGTGTATCCTTTTAATCGTCCATTGGCTGGTTATTATTGTAACGAAGCGAAAGGTAAAATATTGGCCATTGGTTCGGGTTATATGTTTCATGATAAATATTTGTCAAGCTATAAGACAAATGATGCCATTTTGGAGTACATACTGAAATTGTTGGCCACCAATGATATACAATTTAATCATTTGGATTTTAATGATGTTGAGGTGGGTATTTCTATGTTCCTCTTTTAATTAACTTTTTTATTAATATTTAACACCATTCTCTTTGCAGCTCAATGACAATAAAACCTTTACGGATATTGGTTTCATTGCCAATTTGCCAAAAGCCTGTCTCATTGATTCCATTGGTTCGGAAATACCAGCAGATTTTAAGAAAATGTTTGATATGTCATTGTGTTCATTAAGTAATCGTTTGCTCAAGGATGTCATCAACACATATCAACAGTTACATGTTAAATATGAACCCTTGAAAATTATCAAACCTCAATTTGAAATACCCCTACCACCGTTGCAGTTGGCGGTATGTTTTGGAATTCGTAATTTGAAATAATTTTATTAATAGGGTGCATTTGCTTTTTAGACATTTCCACCAATATTTAGTGAACCAGCAGCCCCGCCATTGGAACTGTATGACTTGGATGAAATATTCAGTCCACCCAGATCTCAATTGGCCAATATGACGGGTCAATGTTTACAGGCCTTGCAGGCATCTAAGAATCCTCGCAAACCACCAAATCTCAAAGAGTTGGAAAATTATATCAAGGAATGTGCCCGCATAACAGCCATTATAAATGAGCAGCATGATATGTCACCCCGGGAAATTTTGAATGTTGTGGCCCATCAAATTGTCAGCTATCGACCATATGAATAGAGTCGTGAAGGTTAATTATTTTTATATTTAAAAAAAAATTAAAATAATATTAGAAAAACAAAGAATATTTTTAGATTTTTAAAATAATTTTTTATAGTACCATTAAGGCGTTGATTTTTAAAGAATATTTTTGAGGGTCTCAACAAGGCGTAGATTTTTAGAAGAATATTTTTGAGGGTCTCAACAAGGCGTAGATTTTTAAAGAATATTTTTGGGGGTCTCAACAAGGCGTAGATTTTTAGAAGAATATTTTTAGGGTCTCAGCAAGGCGTAAATTTTTTAAAGAATATTTTTAAGGCCCTAACAAAGTCCAAGATTTTTTAAAGAATATTTTTAAGGCCCTAACAAAGCCGTAGATTTTCAAAAGAATATTTGTAAGGCTCTAACAAAGGCTTTGATTTGTTAAAGAAGACTTTTTAAGACCCTAACAAAGGCTTTGATTTTTTAAAGAAGACTTTTCAAAGAAAAATTTTATTATGTGACCAAACTGAATTAAAATTAAACCACCGTTAAAGCAGCCAACAATCCTATTACTAACATCTGCTAAATGGAGTCTGCGCACAAGATATTCCGCATTGTCTTTACATTGCCAGGACACGACAACAAAACATTCACTTTCCCTTTTCGGCCAGAAAAATAAACAAAAATTGTTAACAAAAAAATGTCCCAACCAAAACGAAAATTTTGTCGTGTTTGTCTCAAAGAAATACGAAGCACCCTATCAAGGATCTATCATATACTGGAGCCACCGGAACCAGTAATAAAATTACGAGATGACCGTAAGGCCGCCACATATTTACAATGCTATTATTATTGTATACGCAATGGCGGGACCGATCATTTTAATGTTGATAGTCTTATGGACTATGCCTATCTATGCACCAAGTGTCGTTTGCAATTGACGCGTACTTTGGATTTTATAATTAAATCACAACGGAATGAAGATTTCCTAATGTCTATGTATGAGAAGAGTACACATGTTGTAAGTTATAGTAGTGCAGAAGCAACAGCAGATGACGGTGATGATGACGATTTGGAGGATGAGTTGTTGCATGGCAACAAAACAGATGATAATACAACAATTGATTTAGAATATGAATTATTCGATGCACATCATTCGAGGAAGACGGAAGATGAGACACAAAGTGATGGGAGTCATGGGGAGGATGAGGAGGAGGTATATTGTAATAATTTTTTTAGTATTCATACGAAAGTAAAGTTTTATTTTTCCTTAGACTGACTTGCTTGAGGAATGTCTAGATCCAAATGATGAAACAATGCGAGATTATCAAAATTCGGTAGAACATTCCGATTCGGAATTGGATATCAATGAAATATTAGATGAACTATCAAAAGATAATGCTGGAAGTAAAGCAGTAACTACGGAAAAGGAATTGCAAGGTTCTAAAAACACGGTTGTCGATTTCGAAGAAGTTCTAATCGAAACGGAAAATGCTGAATTACCACCAAAGAGAGTAAATTTTTCTAGCAATAGGAAAAGAAAAACAAAGAGCAATTCTGTAAAAGAAAATACTTTAAAATTCAAATGTGAAATTTGCTGCAAAGTCTATAGATTAGAGCGGGAACTACATGATCACTATAATGAACATGGTGAGTATTTTTTGGGGGCCGTGAATTTTAACAAATATTTCTTTGGGGGTGGTCTAGCAAGGCGTAGAATTTTTAAAGGATAATTATTAGGCGCCTAGCAAAGGCGTAGATTTTTTAAAGGATAATTATTAGGCGCCTAGCAAAGGCGTAGATTTGTTAAAGGATAATTATTAGGCGCCTAGCAAAGGCGTAGATTTTTTAAAGGATAATTATTAGGCGCCTAATAATTATCCTAAGCAGGCGTAGATTTTTTAAAGAATATTTTTAGGGGTCCTAGTATTTAAAGAGTACATCGATTTTTAACAATGTTTTTTGAGGAAAAGAAAAACCTTACATATGTTTTTTATTTCAGATCCAAAGCTACTAAAATATCCCTGCAATAGATGTAAAGAATATTTTATGTCACAGGATTATCTCAACATCCATAGAGATATAAAACATAAAAATAAAATCTATGAGGATTGTGAAAAATGTGGAAAACTTATATGCTCCACATTAATATATGAACATATGGAACAACAGCATAGCCAGGATAAACAATACGAATGTAAAACATGCGGTAAGATTGGCCACGTTCGTAATAAAATCATGAAATAATTATTATTTTCTATTCCAACTTGTAGATCGTAATTTCCTTACAAAATTAGCATTTGTTAAACATCTAGAGACTATACACGGTCCGACCAAATTAAATCGTTTTGAGTGTCCTGATTGTGAACGATTTTTCTTTACCACGAAAAATCTTAAAAATCACATAAAAATGACACATAATACAAAGAGAAATGGTACTGCAGCAACAGATCAGGATTTTCTATGTGACATTTGTTCGAAAACATTTTCCAATAAATACAGTTTAAAAATGCACATACAACGGCACACCGGTGATATTTTAAAATGTTCCTATTGTGAAAAGGAATTTGTAACAGCCAAGGACTTGAGAATACATATACGATTTCATACCAGAGAATTTCCCTTTAAATGTGAACAATGTTCACAGACGTTTGCCATTAAAACACATTACGATCAGCATCGTAAGAAACATGAAGGTGTACGCTATCGATGTCAGGTGTGTGATAAGGAATTTGGTCATATGTTTAGTTTACGTCAGCATTCATTTAAACATCGTGGTTATCCGTTTAGTTGTAAATTGTGTGGAAAAGGATTACCGGCAGTATTTAAGTATATAACATTTAATATATTTTGAAATATATACATTTTATGGATAATTATTTCTTATATTCTAGAATGCGAGTCCACTTGAAAACAAGGCATCGTAAAGTATTCAATGGGGAATATTCCGACGAAGAGGCTGATCAATATATTATACGAAATAATATTGAAAAAATGTATCCTTGTGTTGAAGTACTTCCTGATAAAATAGTGCGTTAAGCGAAAAATAATCCTAAAATAAAACTATATATTTTGGTAGTATTTTAAAAATAAATAAAAATAATTTTAAGTAAACACTCAAGACAATTTCATTTAACTATAATTATACATATATTTTATTGTATATAACTTAATTGTATGTAGTATATCTGAGGGGACGTATACATTGATTTTGCACAGTGTATTCTCACGAGAGAGCTACACTTTGTTTAAAACTAGCATTACACATTATACAAAATTAAACTATAGGGGGAAAAAACTTGTACTTCAATCACCGTTTCACTAGGGAAACAAACACAAAAAGAGAAATTGCTGATTTGCCACTTCAACATGTTTCCAATTCCTGTGGTATTGGTATATCATTGTGTGCAGCAAATTGCAGCAAAGCCGCATATTTCTTTTTCCAATTTTCTATCTCTCGACTACATTGTTCATTTTCTTCGTGCATTTGTTCCAATTCAATCCATTCATGACTTTTTTCCGTTTCCAAGACATCTTTTTGTTCGATACGTTTTATCCGACAACTGGCAGCATAACCGCGATTTTTCAATGTACGTCGTCGTTGTTTCATGCGTACAATTTCTTCACGATTTAATCCACGCATTTTTAGGGTGCGATTTAAATCACGTACCGAAATAGAAACCAATTCGTCATCACTGATATCTGGGATAGGGCATGGTGACAAGGGGGCCTGCATAAATGAAATTGATAATAAATGGGGGAAAATGTTAAATTCTGTTCAATGCTAAATAGGTTTGGATGTTTGGCAATTTTTTTCGGGGTTGATATAAAAAGTGTGGGATCGGTAATCATATATAGAAGCGGATTTCAAAATATAGTTTTTTAGAGAAATGCGACCACTAAAATATGTCAGCAATCAAAGATCTAGACTTGAAGAGCTTGATATATTTTTTAAGAAAGAGCTTGATATATTTTTGAAGAGCTTGATATATTTTAAATTCTTTAAAGAATATATTTTGATGGACTAGCAAAGGCGTAGATTTTTTAAAGAATATATTTTGATGGCCTAGCAAAGGCGTAGAATTTTCAAAGAATATTTTTTATGGCCTAGCAAAGGCGTCGATTTCTTAGTACGACCTTAACGAACCAGCGTAGATTAAACTATTTTATGACCTTATACCGTTTTTAAGACCAAACAGACATAGATTTATTATTTTTGAGTGTCCAAGCGGTCACTTTGTGGTACGGAACGGTCATTGAATCTTCATTTTTAGAAAAAGTGGATAGATTCAAAACTACGGTGAATAGATGGTGATACTGAGGGATGAGTTCCGAGTTCGATGGTATCCACCTGAATAATATTCACTAGACAAGACTACGTTGCCCTGCCCTTTTACGAACAGGTGATCACAATTTGACACCGAGATATAGAAGCTGAACTTGGATCGATTTGAAAATTTTACCACTATTTAAAATAAAATTGTTAATATAAAAGATTTTTTCGCGTTACTGAGGGATGAGTTCCGAGTTCGATGGTATCCACCTGAATAATATTCACTAGACAAGACTACGTTGCCCTGCCCTTTTACGAACAGGTGATCACAATTTGACACCGAGATATAGAAGCTGAACTTGGATCGATTTGAAAATTTTACCACTATTTAAAATAAAATTGTTAATATAAAAGATTTTTTCGCGTTACTGAGGGATGAGTTCCGAGTTCGATGGTATCCACCTGAATAATATTCACTAGACAAGACTACGTTGCCCTGCCCTTTTACGAACAGGTGATCACAATTTGACACCGAGATATAGAAGCTGAACTTGGATCGATTTGGGCTTAACTCTAGTTTAGTAAAAACGATCAGATTTTTCTGAAAATTTTTCCAGAGGTAGGTATTTTTAGCCTAATTATGGGGATATATTTTTTTCTTGGGGGACGTACCCGGTTACCCGGTTATTTGACCCGGAAGTTCGGGTACGGGTACCCGGTTATATCAGGTTCTACGGATCCGGTTAATATAATATGGGTATCATTTTAAAGGTTATAAAAATACCTTTCCATTGAGTGGTAATATGATGGGGTTATCTCAAACCATTTTGGAGATATAGTAAAAAAACTGGGTTTTGGTCCCCGATTTTTTTGAAAAACTCCCTAAAAGTCGAACTTGGGCCCATTATAGTACCTCTCTAACCCAAACTCAAATGATAGACCACAATTTGCCCTTTCCAAAATGGTGCGATATGTGGCTGTATCTGTTGTGGATCAAAAGATATGGGCCTTAGAACCCTACAAAAACAAGAAAATTCTGTCGCGTAGCCGGTGTTGGTATCTGTCCATAGGAGAAAGTCTTAAATCCCCGGCCGAAGGCCGGCTACACAAAAAATATTCTATTTAGAAGGATTTTCTGCCGCGTTAGCCGGTGTTGGCATCTGTCCATAGGTGAAAGTCTTAAATCCCCGGCCGAAGGCCGGTCACCCAAAAAAATATTCCATTTAACAAGAGATTCTGTCGCGTAGCCGGTGTTGGCATCTGTCCATAGGAGAAAGTCTTAAATTTTCGGCCGAAGGCCGGCTACACAAAAAACATTCTATTTAGAAGGAATTTCTTTCGCGTAGCCGGTGTTGGTATCTGTCCATAGGAGAAAGTCTTAAATCCCCGGCCGAAGGCCGGTCACCCAAAAAACCCCATGCTATTTAAAAGGAGATTCTGTCATGTAGAAAGATTTTCCTTGTTTTTATAGGGTTCTAAGGCCCATATCTTTTGATACACAACAGATACAGCCACATATCGCACCATTTTGGAAAGGGCAAATTGTGGTCTATCATTTGGGTTCTGTTTGGAGAGGGACTATAATGGACCCAAGTTCGACTTTTAGGGAGTTTTTCAAAAAAATCGGGGACCAAAACCCAGTTTTTTGACTATATCCCCAAAATGGTTTGAGATAACCCCATCATATTACCACTCAATGGAAAGGTATTTTTATAACCTTTAAAATGATACCCATATTATATTAACCGGATCCGTAGAACCGGATATAACCGGGTACCCGTACCCGAACTTCCGGGTCAAATAACCGGGTAACCGGGTACGTCCCCCCAAGAAAAAAAGATATCCCCATAATTAGGGTAAAAACACCTACCTCTGGGAAAAATTTCAGAAAAATTTGATCGTTTTTACTAAACTAGAGTTGTTCCTCGATTTGAAAATTTTACCACTATTTAAAATAAAATTGTTAATATAAAAGATTTTTTCGCGTTAGCCGACTTTTCCAACCGTCCATAAGAGAAGGCATTAAAACATCGGTCGACTATTTAAAATAAAGTTGAATTTAAAAGAAATTTTTCTTCACGTCTGCCAACTTTTTGATCTGTCCATAGGAGAGACGAAAAAGTCAAAGGACGGTTCATTCGAACTTCCAAGGCATATATTTTGGGAAGTATCGACTTCTACTACATAATATATACCTCATAGTTATACCTGTGGTAAACATTTCAAAACGATCCTATAAAAACGATCCTATTAATCAACTTATGTCCTTTTGACACTGCAACTTCTCTATTAAAGGATACGTGAAGCTTAAGATCTTCGCCAAATGCATAGCGTTGATTCAAAACAAATATAGAATTTGTGAGGATATCGAGGACAGAGGGTAACTACTTATGGTGGTCATTTGCCTGAAATTGTTCATTATCAATCCCATTACTTCTATCAAAATATGCGATTTGCTTTTAATATGAAAATAACTCCGAGAAAAAATATATATCCTTTGCATCCTTCCTTAAATATGACATTGTACTAGTAGATTACAAATATTGAATGGATGGACCGACTAGATGGCCACTTTCCCACATTAAATATAACACCGAAATTGCCAAACATCTTCAAATAGTGTTTTTTAACTACAAAACAAACATGCATTCCTTTATAACGCAATTTGTTACTCGATAAGACTATTGCATTTACATAAAGATCTTCAGTTACCATTGTTGATTTTAGATTGCGACTCCTTGACTGATGTAATGGATCCATGATTGCAATAACAACAATTTAAAGCAAACAATTTTGTGTGTATAACACAATTTCGTGGAAGACAAACGTTTGGTTGGTTAGTTTTTTTTTTTTGCAAGTTGTGATGATTTCCCAGTTTTTGTTTCCAGAAACAATGAAGAGTAAGTACACCACAGCAGCAAGCACACACAGTCGTCAAATTTCGTGGTAGTTGACGTCGTTGATTGTTGAAGAAGAAAGAGATTAATAATAGTTAGTTATTAATCTTTGTTGCCTACGTAATAAATTGTTAATATTTTCTAAATAACAAATAATAGATAAATACCGTGGAAAAGAAGATTATATCAAGACACACAACGTATATGGAAGAAAAAAAACACTGATATGACAGATAAAATCCACAATCAATTCACTTTCACGTCACTTCACTATGGCGTCAGGTAATGGAATAACAACAAACACAAATAAACTAAAAACGTTCCACCTGCTACAAATGGGAGAGAAGAAAAAATGGCTGATGACTGAAAGCGGAATATAGAAAATTTACGAATGAAGTGTGATAAACACCACTTGAGAAGCGTATAGTGAAGAAAGAGGCAAGTCGCACAATGTCGGTGACGGCGGCTTGAGTTGAAAAATGACGGCGGCGGTTTTAATACAAACACATGTAATTTAAATAACAAATTAAAAAACGTTTAATAAAAAATGTACTCCGAGTTAAAAAAAAATAAATTTATATATATTTTTTAATTAAGGATATATAATTAAAATGTATACCCATGGTAGAATAATACAAGGTAGGACAACATGAGTTTAATAACAAAAAAGCAACTATGTAGGTAGTGGCTTCTACTGTCAAATATAAAAAAAACATACGCAAACAATTTCAACACTTAACTAAAAACGTGAAAGAAATAACAAAGTAATTACATCCAGACGAAAGCGGTTAAAAATCATTTTTATTTCAATTAAATTTGAATCTCTTTCAATTGAATTTTAATTTATTTGACATGGTATTCAAAGTAATACACACACTTATACAAAATATGTGTATTGATTTAATAGAACAAGCCACATTGAGAAAAAATTCTAATCAGATGGTAGGTATGCCCTACCCGCTTATAATTATACCATGTTCATACCCATTAAAAATACCAATTTTGAAATAAATTAAATAAAATACAGAAACATTTGTTTATAACGACCGAATAGAATGGTCGCGTTATAAACGGTGTCATTATAAACCATTTTGACTATATTACGACTGTAGTAGAATGTTAAATTGTTTCAAATGATTAAAGGGAAAATGAAATATATTAATACAAGATTCTAGCATGGCATAATAATATGAGGTAGTGGTACGTTTACATTGTACCGGATTTCGTTAAACCAGTGGGTTTCAATTCCATTGTATACAGGCCAAAAAGATCCTCATAGAGTAGGTTAACCCGGTAAAAGTTCCAATGTAAATGCCGTTTAGGTCAACTTGAGGTCAATAGCAAAAAATAAACTCTTCTTCTTCTTCTGTCAAATATAAAAAACCTGAAAATGTGTTTACATGTATAATAAATGCATGGCATAATTACAGAAGGAAGCCTTATTAGAGAAATTGATAACGCTTTTTAATACGAGGGCAGATTGCCTAGCACAAAAATTGTGGTATAAAAGTTAGGTGTTTTGGAAACTTCCATCGCAAGACAACAGGTGTTTCAAAAAAACCCATCCGGAATTTTTTACAATGAAAGCACGCATTTCTAATTTTTCCATTGTAAAAATTGCGGATGCGTCTTTTTTGATCACCCTTTTCTATATGAAGAAGTTGCCAGATCGAAACAAAATTTAACATGTGTTCATATAACCATTTCAAATAAAATGGAAAATAAATTCCATAAAATATTATTTATTTATGTTGGTCGATTGGTATATTTTCAAGAAATTAAAAATGTATAAGTCAGTTTTTCTCTTTCAAGTCGAGCTTAATGATCGAAATTTTGCAATGAAAAGGAAAGCCAGTCCAACATTATGGGACGCGTTTCGCCATTGGTTATGCGGCTCGTCAGGTATATTGGGCTATGTGCCTTTACAAAGGTCGCATGTTGGCAACTTCAATTTATATTGCTGTTATTGCGAAGTTGCATCTGCGAATTAAAAATTAAAACTTATCAATGTATGAATGAATATATTCTTACTTACATAGCTGACTTGTTAGAGAACCTTTTTTCCATGAGCCGAGCTAAAAAAAAGATTGCAAGTCGCTTCGGTATTGTGTGCAGCTCTTCCACTTTGGAAGACCATGTTCCGAGATGTTGTCTGCCACTTGATTTTTTCATCGAATTCATGGCCTTCCCCACGCTTTCAAATGCCTTTTGAGCTGGGGTATACTCATCCATTCTCTCAACATGACCTAGCCTAGCTTATTCTGACCATAGCAGCATCTGTTGGCCAACACAATTCTCCTCCGGATTTCAAAGCTGATGTTATTAGCTTTGTTTATGGCGCTACCAAGGTATATAAAATCATTGACTACTTCGAAGCTATAGTTTTCAAGTTCCACAGTTGATCCGAGTCTGCTGGACGTCCTGTGCGTTCATACCATCAGCTTCTCACAATTTACTGCCAGTCTCACTTTGGCAGACACCACAATTCGTTCAAAGGTGGTTGTTACCGCTTGCAATGTTCGACCAATAAAGTAGATATCAGCTGATTTTTATTTCGATCATGATCAAAGGTATAAAGTAAAGTACATTTACATATGGCAAAATAAATAGGTAGTCCATTTAGCTCAGCTGATGTCTTGATTAACTATCAAAGTGCGTAATTTCTACTTGAATTCGATGTGCAGAGCTGCCAACTTTTTGAAATATTATAAACAATTTTGCCAGATGGTCGAGACAAAAACAATTTTTTTTGTTTTGATACATCACCTTATTAGGTGTGTCTGGTTACTTTCCCAGTAAAATTTATTCAGTAAGTTCTAGTTCAGAGAGTAAGCCGTTTTTACTATCTTTTGCGATAATACTGAGAAAAGTAAACAGACAACATTTAGTAAGATTTAGCAAATAAACAGCTCCTTCAAGATAACATTTTATTTGCACCAAAATAAACAACAAAGGACGAACACAATTATTTGTATTGCATTTCCTATTAAAAATAAAATGCACAATACAAGAAAAATTGATTTGGTATGTTCCCCGGGAACATTTAAGCTTCCTGCATCAATACATTGCCCTCTTTCTTTAAGTTGCCTAAAAATATAGACAATTTGTTTCTAATCTAATTAAATATGAATTTTATTCCATTTTCTGTAATTTTTATACAACTTAACTTGAAATTAAACTTTGAAATTTAAAAATATGTTTTGAATAATTTTTGTGTTTGGTCATAAAACAGCTGATCCGAAATTGGCTGAGTTCGCAAAATCTTACTGCATTAAATTCTTTCAGTAAACTCCAGGTAGTTTGTTGTTGTTGAACTGTCAAACTTGCTCTCTCACTTGACTCTCTTTTACTGCATTTTTGGATAAACAGACATTTAGTAACATTTGGTAACAATTGCTACCAAATATCGAGCTATTATTGCATCATGGTACTGGGCGCAGCTGATGTCTTGATTAAAGTGGTCCACAGACGTCAAACATGTGCGCGTCGCACAACGAAAAATTAAAAATTTTTAATTTCTTTCGATCGGTGTGCGCACCGGCAAATCGGTGTGAACACCGTACCACACACGTCAAACATTGCTTCGATTCACACCGATCGAACGCACGTGTTTGACGTGTGTGGGCCACTTTAATCAAGACATCAGCTGCGCTAAATGGACTACCTATTCATTGTGCCATGGTACTGGGCATGTCTTTGAAACCTTGTTGAGTTGCCAACTATAAATGTTCTACATTAGCCAGAACAGTGTGGCCAATAGTAATGTAATCTATGTCGTTACACGAGGTTTATGTCTTCGCCAGCACGAAAGAGTTTCCCATTACTATGTTCTACATAGGATAAAGTGAAGCCAAGTTTGGTAATGTATGGTGATAATAGGGATAGCATTTTGAATGGTTTTGTTTATATCCTTTGTAATACGACATGCGACTTATGTTTGTCTTTATCGGATTTCTTTTTCATAAAAAATAACAACAGGTATAACAGCTGACAAACTATTCTAAACAGCTAGAATTTGGTAACTCGATTTCGATAGCGTAGCAATAATAGTAATAACAATATTACAATAAATTGAACAAATCAACAAATGTTTTGACCTAATGGAGAGGAATTCTTTTTAAAATGTTGATTGAAAAATTGAAGGGAATTAGGAACCCATTAAAATATGTATGTAAACGGAGGGGAAGTGCAAGTCATCGTAAATGTAGTGGTATGTGTAGATAGATCAGGGGCCTTAAAAATGTCATAATTTTAAGACTTTAAGGGTCAATGTTAGGTGGGCACTGTGTGGGAGCACCAATACCAAGCTTCCTTGTTGATGGTGTATCGTGTTTCTTTATGTAAGTGTAATATTTCTAGGTCTTTTTTGTTCAAATTAAAATATATAATTGTTTGTCCGCTAGTGCTGATGGTTAAGGTTTGAGAACCTCCCCGAAGATGGCTGGACTTAAAACCACAGTGCCACAGTAGGTGGATCATAACAGATTCCAGTCTAATCCCACAAATAAAACATTAAACAAAATTAACACATATTGTCTTAAGCGTTTCTCTGTGTAACCAATTCATTTATTAATATAAAATATAGTGAAATATATTTATTTTTTCAATTATATAACATTATAAAATCTGTACCCATTAAAGGACATTTACATTCTTAATCGGGTTATATGAGGATTTATTTGACATAGATTTAAAATAATTGACAATATATACCCAGTGGGTTAACGAAATCCTGTACAATGTAAACGTACTATTGGGGAAGCATACTATACAAATAATTTACGATGCATATCACAAACATGCTTCCACTCGATGTTTTTAAAGTATGACAATATTTAGACTTCTTTCTCAGCTTGTATTTGA